GCTGATCCGCAGATTTTCTTAGTTAATTCGGGCTTACCTTCATTTTCCACCTTTGTGAAAGAAAAAAATGCACCATGATGAAGTGAACGAAATGGTGACGCGATTGCACGCTCTATTGCGTACAATAATAAGCTGTTTTTAAACAGGAACAAAAAACGATAAAACGCAGATGGCACAAAGGTTAACGTGTTCGTCATCGACGTCAAAGGTCATGGACTAAGTTACCATCGATGCAAACCCACCAGGAGTGGTTTAGTTCGGCTACTATAGAAGCTGGTAAAATTGGATTTTCATACCGGGGAGGCTAAATGAAACCACGGTCGAACTCAAGGTGAGCGTCAAATAACACTACCGAATTGCTAGTAATATGAACTTGTGAAATAATCAATGCCAGATTATTATTTTTGGGAATTGGCATGAAATTTTGTAAAATTTTGTTGAAAACCGTTAATAGACTAGACAAAATAAATTTCAGCATTAGGGATATGCTAAACATAAATCGATTCAAACATTAAGGTGAAAACTTAAATTCCACTGAGCATAACTTCATTATAAAAGAAAAAAATAGTTATAGATCCTAGGTAAGTAACCGACTGACAAGACTGAATCGGATCAGATTTCGCTATGACCACTGAAATGTGGATGACCTTATTTCTATTTTTCAAGAAGAAAATCCGGAAAAAGAGACGCTCTGAAAAGGCAGTAAATAAATAATTGCTTAGAGAGAGAGAGAGAGAAAAGAGTTTTGTGTGAAATAAAACTTCCGCTTGTTAAATAGTCCTTAGGAGGAGAAATAGTTTATAACTCATTACGGAATAATAAAGAGGATATTAAAAAAATTGAGCCTGTGAAGCAATAGTCATGTATGCAGTTAAATTATCCAATTATTACGATCAAGTATATTCATAGTGAAATTGGTGAAGAAAACGAATAGTTGAACGGGGTGGATGGTATTCGATAAGCAATTGATACCAATGAGGCCTCTTTAAACTGCTTCTTTGATTATTTAGAAATAGAGAGAAATAAGATCAACTAAACGTTTGCTTTAGGAGTTAATAATTTGATTTATGAAAAATACAAGTTGAAAATTAACTAAGTATAAATGTGCTTCCAATGATAAACCTCTGATAGTGCAGCGAGATAAGGTCAACAATTCTTATTCAAGTCGATGCCAGTTGACTAACTCTAAGACTGAGAGAGTATGGAGAAATATTGATCAAGAATGGCGGTTTGAAGAAGAAGAAAGTGTTAAAGTGATATCTTGTCATCGATAAGCGAATTATTAAATTATGCTTTTAAACTCAGCCGCTTCAATTGAAAAGAAAGCACGACAATCACGATCTTTCAATTGTTGAGCACCACGCGCCAATTTACTCAATCACGTCATATATTCATAACAATTAAGTGATTATGTGATTAACGAAAGTCAAAAATTCCTTTTGAAGGTGCCTAGTCAAAAAGAAAAATGTCCTGACGAGTCTTGCTCGATTGTCATCATCAATAAAGGTCGTAACTACAAGGTGTGAGACATTATTAGCGAGATGAAAAGTTGAAATACGGCTCTTATGATACAAAGGAAAGACGAGTGTGAATATTTAACATTTTGAAGTACTAAACTTGCTTCAAACGCTATTAAAATCGATTGTACAGTAGGAAAAAACTGCATGTAGTCAGTTTGATAGATAAATGGGAAATCGATGACGTGCTAATTTTTCCTACTTTTACTCCACTGTACTTCATGACTCAGCTAATTGTTATCGATTTATACGTACAAGCCTTACTCACAGACCTACTCATCTCCTAACACCCCATATTTTCGGTCTTTTCCCGAGTTTACATAAGTCATTATTTGAGCCATTTTTTGCACGATTTGCTACTAACTATATGTACATAATCATGTCAACTCTGCTTAGAACGCGAGGGATGGTTCACACAAGTCCAATATTATTTGGATAATAGAAACACCAGTAAATAGTCGTGTTAAATAAAATTCCATCCATAACTGAATTACAACATTCATCTTAACTCGAGTCAAAACTAAGAGGAATTTGTGATTGAATCGAAGCCATTTTAGAAACTAAGTGATGCAATTCCAACCTACAATGACAAAATATCTGCAATAAAATTGCAGATATTTTGAAAAGGAAATAAATACACATTTTTTAGGAAGGGAGCCTGAAACAACAATAATAATTTGGCACATTAGTTTGGGGAAAAATGTCTTAATTGCAAACATTATTTCCAAGTTAGGAGAGAGAGAAGGAAGCCTGGAATACCTGTTATTATCGACAGAAAAAAATATTGATTAATTTACACACTATTATTTCCTCATTAACACGTTCCCTTGACGGAGAGCAAAAAAACCTGTTGGTCGTATCTTATATCAGCTGATCTGATTAGAAAAGTACGCAACCAAATGGGTAAAAAAGGAAAATTTTGACTCACACAAAATCCTGGAGTATCGGTATCAGGTGGATATACAACTGTGACCATTATTCCATCATCTTCCAGCTCCTGTTGAATAGTATTTGCAAAAGCTGAAAGAGCTGCTTTCGAAGCAGAGTAAGCAGAGAACCCATAGATTGGCAGCTGAGCCGCCGGTGAAGAAAAGAAGGCAATACGTCGCTCATGTGGATAGATAACTTTGTCACCTTCGCCATTTTTGTCGACAGCGAGAGCAGGTCGAAGCATATCGGGTAGAAGGGCTTTTGTCAAATTGACAGCACCCATGTAGTTGATTCGAATCATATCCTCAAGGACTCTTGGAGGTGTGTCCTCAAATGTGCGAGCTACTGAGGTGCCAGCGCAGTTGATCAGAATGTCGACTACACCAACTATGAACAAGAAATAATAATAATAATAGCTTCACGAATTCGCGAATACACAGTTGATACAAGAGGATTGAAAAAATCACAAAATACGCAGGCAGTGATAAGGAGTCAGGATATTATGATCAAGTGCATTGAAAACATCGCCTTTGAGGTCATAACAATTCATTAGAATTCACCTAATTGTCATCCTTCTTATGACCTCGGGTCTGGACAGCAATGGAGGATATTGATAAGGCAAAGCGCTCGCAATACACGATATCAGTGTGACACGACCAAAGATCAGATGTGAATAAGTGCACGGGATTCTGTCGTAAAACGTACTTTCATTTCCTTTTAACCCTAAAAATAGCGACATATTAACTAGAATTATTTTTGGCAACACAGAATTTATTGACATGTTTGTAATAAATGAAAAGGGAGAACGTATCATCATTACAAAGCAAACAACAAAATTAGACACTAACATGATCAATCTCTCTAGCAGTTTTCTTAATTGGTGTCATATGAAACACATGCTTTAAATGCCAACAACAAGGCTTTTTTTCTTTCAAATCAGAAAACTCTAAATTAGAGGCATTGTTAATCATGGACAAATGCGACTAGTTTTTTTCGAATAATTTCGGCTTTTTGTGAAAGATAATAAAATGAGACAAATAAATTGAAATGACATGATTGATCAATCAGCGCAATAAACTGGATTCTTAGGCCTGAATGGCACCAATAAGTTCTGACAAAGATTCGCATGAGATGAGAACTTCAAACCACTAGTGCATGGAGCAGTGAACTAATTAAGTGAAATGTAAACAAAATGATACTTGATACTTTTAAATTAAATTGGCTTCTAAATTGATTGATCAACAAATCTTTGGACTCGGTTGCTTTCCAAAGAACTATATTGCAATTGGATGAAATAAAAGCGGAAAGCGAACGAAACTCTTACCTACAAATTTCTAATACTTTATTAATCTATCCCTTAGAAAGTTTAAAAATCACTGATGAGGAGTTGAAAACACTTTTGGTCTTACAGTTTTCGCATTTGCCTGTCTTTAAAGTTAGACGGTTTATTTTTATATCTGAGAGACGGAAAATTGCTTTAGTTTCATATAATGCAAAACAAAAGTCATTTCATCTGTTGACGTTTATCAACATTAAAGCAGCTAGACATAAATACCTCAGCATTATATTTTATAAAAGCCTAAATTTCGAAAAAAACAACTTCCAATTTATCTGAGATCACCCAAAGGAGGCCACAAAGTAGGTTTAAATAACTCACCATTGTTAGCCTCCAGTGACTTCACGATCTCATCATAGGGGAGGGTGATATCCAGGGAAAGGATTTCGATATCAGTGTTCACATTACTATGGAGTTGAATAAGGGAATCTCGAGTTTCAGCCAGTAGTTTAGCATTCCTTGCCACTAGGGTCATTCGGGAGGGAGAGCGGGCAAGAATTTCGACAGCAAGGGCCTTTCCAATTCCTGATGAAGCACCAGTGATGAGAACGTGTTTGCCCTCTAAAGAAGGCTCCTCTTTTGGTGGGTTACCCAGCCGCCATATCAAATAGATCACAGAGAGTAATATAACTGTGAAACAGACAAAGATTAAAGGATCATACTTTATCAAAATACTAGTTGTAATAACTGAAATATCCTGCAAAAAATTATAGAAAAAAATTGAGATAATAATTAAAAAAATAAATTGAGCAACTAAATAGAGAAAATATATGACAGAACCCCATGAAATGTATAACATAGCGACAAACTACTTGTGAGTGCCAATAAAACATCACAAATATTTTTCCTGATTATTTGGTCACTATTAAATTTATAGCTGCAACAATTAATAAGATAAAGAGTATAAACGAAATCAAGAGTTCAGAGAGCTTACAAATAATTACCAACCACATTTGAAATTGAGGACCAGAACAAGATGACCACACTTTTATGTAACTGTGTGCGATCTCAAGGCCAGTATTTTAATTGCGCTCTGTTTAAGGAAACTTAATAAAAGTAAACTGTATGGTCTTTTATAATAATTTTAAAATTGGCAAAGTTAACATAATTTTGACATCTTCTGAGTTTTTTTACAATTTTTTAAAAGAAAATTTGTTTTTTTAAGAACAAATTTTATATGATTCAATTAAAGAGTATTATGAAGACACAACAAAGATATCGCCAGTTATTTTTATTCCAACGTCATCCAAGCATTTTGTTCTTAGGTGTAATTATGTGTGTTTAAGTAGTGGCAAAAGATTGAGAAATACTTAATTTTCAAACGCGATTGTTATCCATATGTATAGTGGTTTTCAAACAAAATAGGTACGAAACACCTGTCTTTCTTTTAATAAATAACGTGGAATTCTTTATGGACCCCGGTAAATTGAAACTTTTTATCTTACATCCTAGCATGTATCATCGGCAAAATTGGTGTTAAAAGAATGATGGTTTATATAAATTCGATAAATATTCAAATAAAGCAATATAAAGTCAATCAAGCCTGTATAATTTCTAATTTTCATTGTTAGTTAGCAACATATATTCGTTAATACCTTTTTAGCAATAGAGTCACGATTAGCAATAACCTTCTACTAAATTTTGAATTTTAACAAAGATTTCATTAAGAATACTCCCTTCCCTTCTCCTAAATATTGCAGGCCATGACAAATTTATTTTCTTTTAACCGTTTGTAATGTTATCTTAGGATGTATTAATGTATTAATGATAATTAAATTGATTATATTCTCTAGAGACATGCATATTTCGCTATTTTGTTTACATTTCTCAAATACATAGCATATTTAACTGCGTACAAAAAATAACCTCGTTGTGCGTTTTCCATGATACTGATCGCTTTGCTTTCAAACCCTTGAAAGTATGCTTAAATTTACTTTAAAAGCTTGGAAAACTTATTTTATGTTATAAATTACTTACTTTCACTCTATTAACGAATAATAAACTAATTTAAGTAATCTACCAACTGCCACTGTGTTCAAATGTGTTAAAATGTTGAATTTTATGTACTTCTATAATAATTTCCACGGAAAAACGATTCGCCTGCCTCGAATATTTCGCCCCATTCACCTCATGCTAAAAGACATTTCCATTGGGCTTCTCAAGTAACTTTCAAATGAGCATCTTTTCGAATTTATGACAAGTATCACAAAAAATCACTGCAACTGTCACTATTTCTGCGCTTTCTACCCTCTCGCGAAGCAAACTTATTTACGCACATTTTCAGGAAAAACCTTTTACAACGAACTGTAACCATAAAGCACAGCAGTTAAACATTTTGGGAATAAAAGCATATAATGGGAAGTTTCGGTCATTATTTTATATGATTTTAGTTCAATCATCTTGGTTGTGTTCAACTGAGTACTATGCTGTATTATATTGCCAGCTAAACCATTATAAGGTCAATAGATATGACTAAGTACCACTGGGACACTAGACGTCGCAGAAAAACATTTGCTAAAAATGTGCATAATTAAATTAGAATTTTGGACCCTGAATTATTACATTAAAAATAAAGCATAAATTAATTTTCGTAACCAAACGGAGATAGACGCTCTGATAATTTGGCATTTTTTCAGAATATTAATCAGTTTGATCTTGCTTTTAATAACAAAGAAGTTATGTTTTATATTACTGTATGTTTTTCGAAAACGACTCTGAGTATAAAAAATAGTCATACTCGGTATACAATATGACCACATTTTCATCTCTCTCTCTCTTCTCTAGAAACGTAAAAGTCCTGTCTCATAATTGTACACCGATTTCGGTATTATTCCGATTGTGTTTTACTTAGATGTTAAGTCATTATATATGCGATATTTGAATCGTTCAACAGCACACCTGATAACGAAATCCCCCTAGTAGCCCTATGTTCTATGGAGAAACGACCGATGTTACAGAGATACGTAACGCTTTTTTACTCTTTTAGTTAGTAAATAAGACTATTGTATTAAATGCCCCTGAACTCTTGACCCTGCATAAGAAATTTGATATTCATCAGCCTTTGTGAGCGAAACCACATTTCTTTCATGTTGTTACATTTGAACGGTTGGAAACGTAGTGGACTGCAACACAAATGAGCCTTGACATACCATCAGTGACCTCCGCGTATGGAATGGCTCCCGAAGTTAGCTAATTTACTTCAATAAATAGAGAGTGTTGCAGGAAATCTGTTTATTTGGTTTCGCATTTTGTAGCGCATTTCAACCATTAAATACTATTTTAGGTTTGCTGATCCTGTAATGATCATTGATTATTAATTGGTTGAGAGGTATCTGCACTCAGCCGCGTGTTCTAGAAAATTCGAGAATGCATGAGATTGACTAGTTTAATGGAGTTACGAATGGATACCTCAAGGAATCGAAATATTCGAATTCAAACGAGGGTATTGGTACAATTTTTACAATGCCATTGAACGAGTATTTTCTTGAAACAAATAATATTAAGTTTGATAATGATTGATTTACCTTGAATATTTCAAGCCCTTTTTCAATTCACCTATCAACATGACAGCCTTCATTCTGAGTGGCAAATTAATTAATAAAAATCTCTTTAGATAAATAAACATTACTCAATAATAAGTAAAAGGAACTAATGAATAATTGTTAATTAATTTTAAGGGTCTTTGTGAAATAAATATGCAGGAGAACGATCAACATATCTTACTTCAGAGTATTCTGGGTTTCATTTTTTGCTTCAAAACTGTCTCCTCGCACGCGTAGTCTCTGTCAGAGTAGCTTTGGCATGTGGATCAATATTACTGCAATTGCGAATTTCTTCACTTAATATAAGCCTTCATTAAGATGGGAATAATTTTCAAAGCAACATTGAGGAAGAAGGAGATTAAATTTGAGATATTTGTCGAGGAAAAACCCAAATCCTGATTTTGAGCTCTATTACCTTTGTCATTTCGTTCTGCATCGATGGATGGATGGAATTTTAACTTTTCAATAATGGAATCCAATTAATTTTTAAATTATTTCTTGAGCACAAATGTATCGGGAAAGGAAGATGGCCAGACTTTAATGTCAAGTTATTTAAAAGTCGTTTCCAGAAGGCATGAAAATGACGATTGAATTCGATTTTGTGTTTACTGATGGAAAGGAACGGATTTTGGAATTTTGTGGTTTTGTTCCTGAAATCAACGACTTCTGCTTAATGCAAATGATGATTCTCTTTGGTTTATCTAGGAGATCATCATGGAACGAGAATTTCGGTCAATCCCGTCTAACTATAAAGTAACCTGAGTGAAAGTTACAGAAACCGGCTGCCAAAAGTGAGGATTTGTCCTTGTCTGCACATATTACAACCAATCATTAATTCTAATTTGCCAGAGCCGTAGAGTAGCTAATTCCTGTGAGTTTCAATAAACGCATTTGAAATGGTGTAGTTTGTAGGGAAGATAGTATATACTAGCTTCTTTACTATTAAGATGACGTAAAATAAATTTTCATAAACAAGGAGATCGTCTAGATAAGTCATAATTTCGGTGTTCAAGATAAAGGCATTTCTTTTGCTAAATAAAATATAGCCCATTTTGAAAGAGGTGGTGGAGAAATGAGATTGAAGCCAATTTTAATTCAGCGGCACCAACTGGACTTAAGTTGAAAGTCTGGAGGGATTTTTGCTGAGTTACAAGTGGAGCGGGAGTTTAATAATTTATTTCGCTTTTCCTCCTTGCAAATATATAAAATAATAAATAATCGATACCTGTTAAAAGTATATTAAGGCAGTAAATAATATTTATTTTCCGTTTTTATTTTATCATTTTAAGGAAATTTACATTTTGCTCTAATTCATTGACACGGCGATCAGAACAGGACCCATTTCTTAGGCGTAGAACCTTAAAATTGACTTGAAAATGAACTGTCACCATTGTTGTTCCACTTCCCAATCACATTTTCCCAATGCATCTATTGACCTACCTGATCAAAAATCCCTATTTGTTAATTTTCGAAAACATTCCGGAAAGATTATTTGAAAATTAATAAGAATTCACTGTCCTGAAAAAAACTCTCCCTACATATATATATATTTAATGATATACGGTGAATAATCATTTTCAATTTTAGTGTTTTCTTATAAAAAGATATAAATAAAGAACCAAATGATTTTAAGAATGTTGATTAATTTCGCTCCGGATAAACAAAGCATTTAATTTAAAGACGAACGCGATTTGTTAGTCAATTTTATAAATTCCTTATTCTACAAATTATTATTATCTGAAAAGTTTGGCCAGAGGAGTTTAATATTTTAGTCAGTGCGAGTACTTTATTAATGATCAATTACAGGGTTAAGGTTTTAACATCACGAGAGAGAGAGAGAGAGAGAGAGAGAGAGAGAGAGATGGGGGATTCAAGAAAGCACACCGATATCGTTCATGAAAGACAAAACCTTCTCAGGAGATGGAGCTGCGATTTGCGCGCATTGTATCAGTTATCTTAGTGGAACTCGAGGAGTTGGTTTTGGTTGAAGATAATTTTCAAGATTTTTTTGGGGGGGAGGGGGATTGTTTCACCGTGGCACATATCAAATATATTCGAATTAATCTCATATATCCAAGCGGAAGAAATTTAGCATCTCAAATTGGATAAAGTTAAAGATTAGGTGAAATTTCCTATATTTTTACTCTACCAATCC